CCTGTCAAAAACAATATAACACACAATACCTACAAAATGTTTCTCTTCATCTACATATCACTCAGGTTTTCCTTTCTCTTTTTTGTGATATAAGGACCCTAGCTCACTCAGTTATTGCAATGCTGCAGCACCGAGTGTTTGTGTAGATCAACCTTTTTCTGTACGTACGTGGTCCGAAACAACTACACGCACGGCTAGGTCATCTGGTCTCGATTTCCGTGGGCCGCCACGTCGTCTTCCTCGCGCACAGCATCGCCTCCTTGTTCTTGGAGACGGTCATCCTGACCTCCCACTGCAACGACCTCACCACGCCCTGGATCTCGTCCACCGTCTCCTTGTCGTCCCGCACGATGAGCTTGCCGTTCGGCCTCAGGATCCTGTCCACCTCCACGATCACCGGAAACACCTTGCACCTGCCAACAATCCAAACAACAGAGGACGGATTCGTCGTGTTCATGTCGATCGTCGTCGGCGCGCTTGAACGATCGATGTGCCGCATGTAAATCAGATGGGAGGTAGCTAGCCATGGCCTCCGTTCTCTTCCCACACCTACCTGGGTTTGAGCTTGGAGAAGAGGTGGTCGGCATGGAGGAGGTCGTAGGACCTCGGGTAGGTGCTGAAGGACTCGCACCAGTCATGGTAGATCCCGAACAGCCCGCGCTCGTAGATCACCGGCAGCGTGTCCGGCGAGTCGATGGTGACCACGTTCATGACCCACACCTTCATCTCCCGCAGCGCCGCCGCGAACCCTCCATAGACGGCCCTCATGTCCATGACGTTCCGGATGGTCTTCCAGTCGATGCCCATGCCGGCGAGGTACGAGCTCCGGACCACCTTCCTCCAGTGCTGCAGGTCCGCCGCGAAGTCGTCGGGAGCCGGCTTGCCGTACACGCCCACCTGGCTGCGGTCCAGCCAGTAGGGCGCCTTCCGTAGCCTCTCCGGCCACAGCGCCGGCCACCGGGCGCCACGCACTGACTGGTCCTCGGGAACACGGTGCATACACGCCCGGAACTTTATGTTCCTGCATGCATGCATCGTTGTCGTCAGTTTCCGGTGTGACGTGGCAACTAGTAGTTCAGACAGTGGCCTTGTCTTGTTACCATGCAGCGTTGGGGTCGTCGGAGGGCTCGCACAACGCCGGCTCCTTCTCCGGCCTCTTGTCATAGCAGACGTTGTTCACCGGCTTCTGGAAGATGACGAGGCCGACCAGGTCGACGGTGTCTCTGGTCTTCGCCACCATATCCCAGCACATCGCCTTGGTCAGCTTCACCATTTCTGCAAGATCCACGAGACCAACAACGTTGTGACCAACTCATGATCGATCGATCTTGTTTGTCTCGGCAATGGCGGCGGCGTCCATGCATGAATATATAATGCCTTTGCGGCCTTGCAAGGGGAAAAACGAGCTAGAGCTGACCGTCCCAGATCTCCACGTCCTCCGGGAGCTTCTGGTACACCGGCGTGGCGGACCAGACGAAGAAGCCACCGGGGCGGAGCAGGCGGTTGAGCTCGAGGAGGAGCATGCCGCCGTCGATGTGCCACGGCACGCGGCACCGCGCGCAGTGCACGACGTCGAAGACGTTGGCGGGGAACGGGAGGCGCTGGGTGCCCATCACGGCGGAGATGGCCGGGATGCCGCGCTCCAGCGCGAATTGCACCTGCGCCTCGTGCTCGTCCTTGGGCGCCAGCGACATGGTCAGCGTGTCGCGGTCGAACAGGTACCCGCCGAAGCTGGCCACGCCACAGCCGACGTCGAGCACCACGCGGCTGCGCCTGCCCCACGCCACATCGGGAAAGGAGTTCTGGATCAGCTCGATGTAGTGCAGCGCGCCGTGCTTGAACTGCGTGCCGCCGCCCGGGAACGTCAGGTACTCGCCGGAGACCTTCACCCAGTTCTGGTGCCCCTTGTACTCTGCCAGCTTGGTGTGCGGCACGTTGTAGTACCAGATCTTGTCGCGGCTGTGCGGCCACCGGATCGGCTCCCGGTACTCCGGCGGCGCCGGGACCAGGCACGTCGGCGGCTCCTCGGGGCAGTGCCGCTCCCGGTGCTCGTAGTGCTTGTCCGTCTTGAGCTTCTTGATGGCCGCCAAGTTGTCCAGGCACGGGATGTAGTCCGCGCCGGCGCTCGAGTTGCACAGTTTCCACGCCACCGTGCCGACGGCGCCGGACGCCTTCTTCTTTTCTTTCTTCCCCTTCTTCTCGGCGCGCTTCTTCTTCTCCTCGGTGGACTCCGCCGCCTGCGTCGTGAACGATCCGTTCTGCGCCGCGCGCTCCGTCAGTAGCTCCGCCTGGACGTTCGGCTGCGCCTCCGCTGCTGCAGGCAGCTGCTGCTCGACACCGTCCTGTTTCTTCTCGTCTTCGGAAGTCGTAGTGGATGCGGTGGTGGTGTCGTCAGTGGCCGCGACCGCCGACGCCTCATCCTGCTTGTCAGTGTCGGTGGCCGTCTCCGTCGCCGTCGCTGCTTTGGCCGACGGCTTCACCGTCAGCGCGGCGCCTTCGACCTTGGCACTCTCCTCCGAGATGCGGGTCTTATTGCCGTCGTCCTTCACAAGGTCGACGCCGTCCATCTTGCCGTTCTCGTCATCGAACGTGAGTTTCTTGGCCGAGCCGCCGCCTGCCTCTGCGGTGCTCTCCTTGACGACGCCAGTCGCCGCCGCCTGCTCTGCTGCGCTCGCCTTCGCGTCCGTGGCCGTCTGCTCGGCGGCGCTCTGATCCAGACCACCAGAATCCTTGGTGTCGATCGCCGTCTGCTCCTTGCCGGCGGTATCGACCTTCGCGTCGTTGTCCAGCGCCGCCTCCTCGCTGGCGCCCTTGTCCTGCCCCGCGGCGGCGTCCGTCTCGCCGCCGCCCGGCTTGACGAGCTCCCCGCCCTCGGTCCTGCCGTTCTCGTCGTCGAACGACTGGTCCTTGGACGACGACGACTCCTTCCCGCCGTCGCCTTCTGCTGCTCCGCTGTCACCGGGCTTGCCCAGGACGTTGACATCCTCGGCGCCCTCGGCGGCGGCGGCGGCACCGGCCGTGGCCGCCTCCGCGACGACGTTGGCGCTGTCCTGCTTGACGGTGTTGGTGGCGTCGATGGAGCTGTCCTCCTCCTTGACGTCGGCCTTGACGGCCGCCTTCTCCGAGGACAGGGAAATGGCCGCCGGGACGGTCTCGGGCGAGGACATCATCCACAGGCCGAGGAGGCAGAGCGCGACGAACACGACGAAGGTCGCCGTGGAGTAGAACGACGACCTCTGCCTCTGGTTCCGATTGAATAGGGCCATCCTCTCCTCTGTTTTGGATCAGCTCATGCAAATCCGCTCTGAATCGGAGTAAGAGGAGACTAGTAATGAAATTTGGGTGAGAAGTAAACCAAATCAAGAAATCCAGGCATCATCCATTGTTACCTAATTCGGATGAATCCCCCAACAAGTCCCAACGAGAAGCAAATCCATTCACACCTGCAGCAGTGGTCTGTGTTGTTTCATGATTCCGGATTCTCCCGAAGGAGAGTGTGCATGCGCGTTCTTAAGGGCGTCGCGGGTGGCAAGTTTGGACGAAGGGAAGAGAGCGTAAAGCGGGGGAGTGAGCGAGAGACAGGCGGGGTCAACACACAGGCCACTCCCCGGCTTTGGTGCGCCATGCCCATGCATGCAGAAATTGCAGATACAGTACGAGGAAGACGACGATCTACAACTAGGCCAGCCCAAGCTCCGTGCCAAACGTACACAGCTGGGTGGTAATTCATTTCTATAAGAAACTAGCAACCCAGTAAAAGTACACCTTGTTCGTGTTATCTATTCTAATATGTATTTAAATTACACTTTATTATCGCTACGCACGATTCTGAGTTTCTAACTCAACCATTGTTCATCATGAAGCAGCTTCCAAAGGAGTCAATGAGATACATATAGGCATTGTGGGACATAAAAAGACGAATGGAAGAATCCTAGCCGGATTCGAGAGAGAGTAGAGATGGAAACGGACCGGGTTGACCCAATGGATAGTTATTCTGACCTATAAAAGTAAGGCCAATGATCATACGGATCGGTCTCAAAGTCTAAAATAGATTGATCTAATAGTCATATAATAACCTTTTAAAATTTCTGTTTTTTCTTAATCTTTTATAAGCATGGTTCATCATAACTTCATCTTTTATAAGCATGGTTCATCGTAACTTATAAGTACATCTAAGGTTTGAAGTAGTTTGAGGAATATCATATTTCAGAACTAAAAGCAGATAAAATTAAGTACTCCCTCCGGTTCTCTAAAACAAGTCGTTTTGAGATTGTCTTAAGTCAAACGTTTTAAACTTTGACTACAAATAACTTCTTTTGGGTTGAGTTTGAAAATATGAAAGTGATGTAAGTAGATTCATCTCGAAATGTAGTTTCATAAAAGTATATATTGACTATATTTTATAAATATTTTATAGCAAAAAGTAGCGGTCAAAGTCGTTTCTTAAAGATCGTGTCGATGTCAAAACGACTTGTTTTATAGAATCGGAGGGAGTACATCTATAGTAAGCAAGGAAGGAAGGATGGGTAGTTAACGGTAAAAAACCAATAGCTGAACAGGGCCTTTCTTGCTTGTTAGTTAGCGAGCACTGAATTTAAGTCTTGCATCGCTCCTGTTCTCTCAGCTTTGGCATGGCCCAATCTTTATTTTACAGCTGTTCTTTCACCTTATTTTAATGCGTTCGGGGTTCTTCAGCAAATTTTGTACAAAGTAGAATATCCACCGACAAATTGATTTATTTTTAGTATTCGCTGGCAAAGCAACCTCGCTTTCAGTGTCCACTAACAAATTTTGTTTTTTTTTTTTTTTTTTTTTTTTTGCAAAAGAGTTCCAGCAAGAGCTAGGTGTCTTTTTTTTTAAAAAAAAAAGATGATTAAATTAAATCTAAAGTAAAATGAGACAAAGACGTTACAGTGGGAATCTGCAATTCAGACCCCCACGGACCAGTCGCTGTTCATCTCCTTCCCCCAATCCGCCGCCAGAACCAAACCCTCACCGGCATGGCGCCACCACGCTCGGTGCCGGAGCTCATCGAAGACACCATCGCGGAGGTCCTCCTCCGAATCCCCCCGGACGAGCCCGCGCACCTCGTGCGCGCCTCCCTAGTCTGCAAGCTCTGGCGCCGCATCCTCCTCGACCCCGCCTTCCTCCGCCGCTACCGCGAGTTCCACCGGATACCACCGCTGCTCGGCTTCCTCCGCAACTCAATCACCGCCAGCCTCTTCCAATCATTCCGCTACGTCCCCACAACATCAGCATCCACCATCCCCCAGCCGGCGTTTGATTGCGTCAGATGGCGAGCGCTCAGTTGCCGCCATGGGCGAGTCCTCCATGACATGGGCTTCTACGGCGTCGACCTCGTTGTCTGGGATCCTATCACAGGCGATCTGCAGAGGCTGCCTAAGTCCAGCATCACCATCTCCTTTTACAGCTCCGCCGCGGTTCTCTGCGCCGCGGGTAGCTGCAACCACCTCGGTTGCCATGGTGGCCCCTTCCTCGTGGTCTTCGTGAGCTCCCATGATGGCCGTCCCGGTGAGTTGTTCGCTCGGGTGGGTGTGTATTCGTCAGAAACTGGCGCGTGGGACACTCCGCTCCTCTTTACTTAGCCGGCGTCCGTTGCGAGGTCGACCGCAACAGGAATGGTGCTCTTATCGGAGATAACATCTATTTCTCCCTTGAGCTTGGTGAAAAATTTCTGAAATTTGATTTGGGCAATAATTCCTTGTCTATGATGGATCCGCCGGACTTGTACAATTGTGGTGTTCTCCTCATGCAAACAGAGGAGGGTTCACTTGGGCTTGCTGGCATTAGGGGTTCAAGGCTTTGCCTATGGTCAAGAGAGGTGGATCCAAAGGGAGATGCCGGCTGGGTACCACGAAGGTTCATCAAGATTCAGAAACTGTTCCCCAATAACACCCCCCGTTACAGACGTAGTGTGATTGGTTTTGCTGATGGTGTTGGTGTCATATTTGTGTAGACAGATGTTGGTATCTTCATGATGGAGCTCAAGTCAGGTCGGAAGAGGAAGGTGAGGAAGGTAAGCGAGCCTGAGGCTTGCTGCGGTGTCATCCCATTTATGAGCTTCTACACTCCACGTACAGTGCTAGCCCATTGCCTAGATGTAATCCTGCACAATGGCTTTCATGTACGGTTGCAATTAATGTTTATCTATTAAACTGAATATTGATGATGATGTTAGTCAGTTCAAAACTGAATACATGGCACTATCTGAAGATCTCGCTTGATTTTGGTTAGGTCTGAATTTTAAGTGCTATTACTGAAAACGGCACCACGTGCCCTAAAATGTTTTTTTTCTTCTTTTTTTCACAAACTAACCAGAATGTTTTGATTGTTGTGTTGATATCTCCTATGGCTGTTCTGAAGTTCACATGCCAATACCCAAACCTTTTATACCTTTGGGATTGCACCAATAAATCATAAACTACTGTTTTATCACATTTTGGATTGTTCGTTATTTTACCCTACTTTGTAAATACTACACAATTGGCAGTTTGCACTATTCATCTTTAAGCACTTTTTGTGTGGGCATAATAATTTCAACTTATATGCTACTGCATGTTGCTTTTCAGATTGTGCTAGCAGAAAACTACAATCATCATCAGAGACAAATTAATCACCGTTGAACTAAGGTATGGTAGTGCCTGGACTGTGTACAAATTCACCAAGTTGAATCTGCTGCAGTTAGCGTCTTTGCAGGTTGGTGCTTTGGTATGTCCACTGTTATTCTCTTGGGTAGTTTAATTTATGGTGGTGTGAACCATCATTGGACCTATGATGTTATGATCATGGCTGTGGCAACTATATTTCAATTTTAGTTAGTCTTGTGTACGATGGTGTTTCATTAATGTTTAACCCTAATATTTTCGTTTTAATCAGAAGCTATATTGTGGCTGTTTTGACTGGAAAATGAACCTGTGTACTTCAGTTTAATAACTTTAATTTTCATTTCTGTAACAAGGGTAGCAGTTACTGGCTTTGCATGTACTCAGGAATCCACTCAGAACTGGAAAGAAGTTAGGATTTTGAGTTCAGCATCTGTCTGAAATATTGGTCGTCTCTCTGGTTGCATACAGTTTTAAACTTCATTTATTGGACTTCATGAGCCTGATCGTGCTCCAGCTTTTTTTATTAGAACACTAGAACGCATATGTTGATTGGAGCTTGTTTGTTCTGTTGCAGGAGTGCGAGAAAGTAGTGGAAAAGGATGGTAAACAACTTTTTCTGGCAGTGACATGGGAGCGGACGACCCTGTGTTGTAGTTCGGTCAATGGCTGTTTCCTTTGTCTGGAGATATCCACTTTTTTGCTTCAAAGGCCGACCTGAATCTTTCATAGCCAGATACCAAATCCATTGTAACCTTGTGTAAATTTTATGAGTTAGTCACATGTTTTACACATGCTTGTTTTCAGGCAGTGGTGGTTTGTCATCACTAGCAGGGACTAATTTTAAGTTCCAAACCTGAAGTTGTACAGTTTTAGTGTCTATGCAGGGCAGGCAGACTGCTATCTGTATCTAGTATTTGAGTGTTGGTTTGGTTTCGGTACAGTCAGGTGGTTCACACAGTGAATGAAGTCAACACTGTCCTAAAGACCTAATTAAGCAAGCATGGAAAACATGGAAGATGGAACTGAAGACTATGCTTCAGGTCTTAGTTAAACACTTTATTTAAGTTTATGTTGTGTTCATGATTGAAAACTCCACTTGGAACCGAAGATGTATTCGGTCATCCTTTTGTACTGAAACCTGAGTTTGCTTTACTTATTCATTTATCAGAATCCGTTAGGAGTTTCCGCTCTCTAAGGAATATACCAGGAAGTGAAATTACACATTTTTTTTTGTTTAGTTTCTGTTTTTATGTACATAAAGTTGCTTGTTTGTAGGATTGCTTGCAGTTTGAAGCTTTATTTGTTCAACTGTGTCTTTGTTTGATGGACTGCTTCAACTCAAAGTTGCCAGTTTGCTGTCTAGCAAGCTAGCTAGTTTACAAATTCATTCAAGTAGGGTCTGCTGCTATTAAAATTTGCTGGGCGCATTAACCTGAAATATTGTTTTTGAGGAAATAGAAAACTATGTATCGCACTGTCCATGGAAACAAACAAACTGACATATCACCGAAACTATGTTGATTTCATTTCCTGAAACATTAGTCTTACATCCAATCTTGGTCACATGTTCTCAAGACTGTTGTCCAAGTAGAAATTTCATACTTTTCAGGAATATACTTGAAAATCATAAGCTAACGTTTTATCAAAGTTCGGCTAGGCGGCGACTACGCGCGCCTAGTCGCTGGGCGAAGCCCGTCGCCGCGACTAGGGGCATAGTCGCGCATCGCGGCGCTAGGCGGCGTGGAGGGCGGCCAAAGGGGCCTAGAGCTGGATTGTTGGAGGGCAGGGGTCGCCGGCGCCGGGCTCGAGCCAGCTGGAGCTGGAGCCTGGAGGGCAGGGATGGCTGGCGCGGCGCTCTGCGGTGGTGTGGCCCGCACCCTGCGCCTGCGGGATGCCGGGGCCAGGATGGGATGGGCGCCTGGGCAGCGGCGCGGCGGGAGGGCTTGGTGCGCCGCGGAATGGCGTGCGGCGCAGCGCTGTCCGGCTAGGCGGCGCCGACAGGCAGCTGGCAGGCTCCTCGCCTCCTCCCGTGCGGCGGTGCGGGTGCGGCTGCGGGCGCGCGCTCGTGCGAGGGACGGAGGGAGGCGGATAGGAGCAGAGGCGGAGGGTTAGGTTTGCTGTTGCCTGGGCCTTCATTATTGGGCTGAAATTACATGGGGTATGTGGTGTTGATGGCCCAACGACTAGGGCCTGGGCTGCAGATCCGCCCCTGGTGTTGTGCACTTGTATTACTATTCTATCCACTTGTATTGTAATTACCAGCTGCTTATATGGTGTGCTCATGGATGGAAGGCTGCTGAAATCATCTAGATAAGTCACAACTTAGTGTTTTCTATTTTTTTTTATGAACAGCTAGCTGTCTATTGACTAATTTACTAACTACTAGCTGTTAAAATGTGTTGCAGGAGCTAGGAACATGCAAGAGTAAGCCAGCTATGAATCAGATATGTCTACGGGCCCTCTTTTTATACTTACTGTGACTCATATATAGTAGTTATATACTCCCTCCATACTGGTATTAGAAGTCGTTTAGGACATGATTGCGCATACCAAGGAGTGCCAAAGAGTGATTAAATAGGGGGTATTTTTCCATGTCTGCCCCTATTAAATAGCGGTGCGGTTGCCTCCTGTACAGAAGTGATGAGTAGCCCGAGCGGCTATGCCTCTGCGTCCCGATGCAGGAGATCGTTGGTTCGACTCCTCGAACCAGGGACTATTTTTGTTGGCTCATTTTGCATGGCAGCATGGAGGGCTGGGTTCGCCCGCGCGTTTTGGCCACCCGTGGCATTTTTGGCCGTGTTTTCGCTGCTGATGCTTGCGCGCGTGACTGCTGCCGGTTTTGGTCGAATTTTTCCGTGTTTTCGCTGCTGCTGCCTTGCGCGCCGACTGCTGCCGCTTTTTTATTTCAATTTTCATCGATCAAGCGCCTGGTGCTGCTAGCCTTTGCCACTCTATAAATAGTCTTTTTCTCTCCAAACGAGCGTTCTGTTCGTCTCCTTGTGTTCCTGTTTATGCTGCTAGCTAGTTCAGCTACAAATGTCGGATTATATTCCTAGGTTCGATCTCAACTTGCTGGCATCCCAAGATGATGACGCCAACGACGTTTTAAATCTCGACGAGCCAGAAGATCACCACGGAGGTAATGCATCACTTAGTTGTATCCTTCCGTTGTTCAGATTATTTTTGGTTCTCATCATTTGTTTCATTTTTTTTACAGTACTTGATTTGAACTTACCAGTAGATGAGTTCGGTGCTGTTGATTTCGACTACATACAAAATCAAGCTGGTAACTTCTTTTCGTCACAATGTTTGTTTTTCTTCCTATAATTACAATATGCCGTGAATGCATTACCGCAACGTGCAAGCAGTTCATGAATGTGTTTCTTTTTATCTTAAAAATACAACATGCCGTGAATAAATATTGGACCATGCATGCCGTGTGAATAAGTACTGGACCATGCATGCCGTGAATGTAGGCAAACATGACATGTCCTTGGTTGTTTTCTTTTAACAGACCATGCTGTGGACAATCCAACCGTGGAAGAACAAGTTCAACCACACAGCCGAAGGAAAGAAATGAGTGAAGAGGTCCGAAAACAAGTTTACCAAGCTTTGTTGGCTAGAAGCAACAATGGTACACTACACAAGGAAGACACCGCGTTTGTTGCTGCTCAATTTGACATCCATAGACGGACAGCTCAACGTGTTTGGAACCGAGGTAAAACACAACTTTGTAGCAATGTACCGGTTGTGGTTTCTAGTCTAAAGAAGGGTAGAGTTGGACGTAAAGCAATACCTTTTGATTTGGAAGCATTGCGAAACATTCCGCCGCATCCATGGAACTGCTAGGGCGAGGGCGAGCCGTGTGCGGCGTGGAGCGAGGGCGAGCTGGTGTGCGGCGTGGAGAAGAAGAGCTAGCGGCAAGGGGCGAGTTGCGAGGAGCGACCGTGAGCTGGAATCGCGGCATGCGGAGGCGGCGTGCGCGATTAATAGCAGCATGCAGGAGGCGAAGCAATAGGCGCTGAGTCAAGGTTCCTGAAATCGCGGCATGCAGCGGCGCATGCGCTATTAACGTGGACACGGGAGCCAAAGCAGAGGGGTACCGGCGTCCACTTTTCTCCCTCGAAGCCAAAACGACTTCTTTTGCTTGATTTCAAACTGAGCCCAGAACGACCTCCTTTAGCAGTATGGAGGGAGTACATATATAGTTATATATATATATATAATATATATATATATATATAATTTATGGCTATATTGCCAAAACGCCTAGGAAAACGCCTAGGAGCGCCTAGGACCGAGTACTCCCGACTAGACGCTAGACAATGGGTCAGCGTCTAGATTCCGCCTAGCGCCTAGCTGAACTTTGCGTTTTATGGTATTTTGGCTTGTTCATTATTTTACTCTGCTTGTTACTACAAAATAGGCAGCCTGCATTGTTTCATCTTTAAGAACTGTTTGGGTGAGCAACAAAAACAATTTTAACTTGTATGCTATTGGAAGGTGTTATATCAGAAATTGTCAAGTAAACCTTATGAATCGTAAACCTTATGAATCACACCGGAATAATCGTAAACCTTATGAATCACACTGGAATATCACCAACCATCAATGTGATGAATATTGCTTGGTAGGCACTTCCCTGCCCCACCCTCTACCCCTCTGAAAAAATGCTGCAAGTGTTCAGCGAAGCTATAATACTTAAGATAGCCACTGGAAGAGTTGCTTTTTTTTTGGGGAAAGATCTGCATGGTTGCTTTTCAGATTGCACCGGGAGAGTAATCTAAGTACGGGTAAAACAATCAACTTGGGACATTGCTTTGAAGTGTTCTGTTTTCTGATGTAGGCCTAACGTACTTAAGGGTCATAGCTGACTGAACTATGTTCAGGTTTGCGGTTGAGCATAAATTTCAGGTTCTGCACGAAAAGAAGAAGAAATGGGTAACTGATGAGATGTCATTGCCTCCTCTTGCAGGCTTGCCCACCATCCAAGTAACGTGGCAACTCACTGGGGATGGGATCATAACGAGATACTCTAGCAGAGTTGATGGCGTCCGCGTCACCTGATAAGCCATCACTTTCCTTCTTGGAGTAAGCAGTGGCTGCCCACAGAACCTTCTTCCTCAAGTCGACCTCGATCATCCATTTCGGCTCGCCGCCGCGATAGAAGTCATCCTTCTCTAGTCGGAAGACGACGACGTCAGGATTCTCCATGTCGACGACGGGGAACTCTGGCTGGGCGTGTGGGAAACGGAAACGGTGGTCTGCACGATCGAGGGCGTCCCAGAACTCTTCCTCGTGCATCGTCAAGTCTTTCCTCCACGTGTAGTCGTCGTGTTCGCGCAGCGACCGGGTGGTGATTCGGAACCTGTGGCTCCACGTCAGCACGTGCCGGTGCCCAACTCCAAAGTTGCTCCAGTGCTGGCTGTCGACGCTGACGAACTTGACGCCGTGGCGCGTGACGCACACGCGGCGGGAAGCTTTAGGGCAGCCTCGGGCGCCGAATTCGATGTCCTCGGGGTCCCCAACCCTGTCCACTGGAAGTGGCACGTACCGAAGCTTCGGCGGGTTCTTGGACGACGATGACGACTGCAACTGCGAGGACATGTCCATGAGAATCATCCCACCGTAGTAATCCATCCAGATCATGTACCGGCATCCGTACGGCACCACCGCGTCCGTCGACCAACAGCGTAGGGCACGGCCGCCGTCGGCGCCGCGGACGTGCAAGTTCTTGAAGACCTCCCACTGGCCGGACCCAGACTGGAACAGGCGGGCGTCGTTGGTCGCCGGACCCATCTCAAGGTATGCCACAACGAACCACGGCGAGTCGTCGTCGTCGTTGATTGTGCAGGACAGTAGGACATTATACCCATGCCTTCGGTACCCATAAGGTGCGAATAAATCACAGGCCCGCCTGCGTAAGTTAGCAGCAACATGGACGGCCGCCGGCGCCGGGAGGGGTCGCGGCTCGCCTGATAAACGAACAAGTCGACGACACTATTCCCCGGGTACGTGTCCTCGTACGACGTCATCGCAAGTAGCACGACGTCGCGGTGCGCGGTGATGACGTTCCCCGTGGACTTCCTCGGTGTCGTCGACGCCCGCGGCCAGTCGACGGTGAGGACGGAAGTGCCGGGCTCAAACGAGACGGAGATCTCCTCGCCTTTGGATGTGCGGGACGCCGCGGACGTCGTGCGGTCGCCGGGGAAACCATCCCGCCGGGCACCGGCTTGGTTCAGGAGCACCCAACTGAGGTGCCGCGAAGCCGGTGAGCGCCGAACAGGCAACGAAGCGGACGATCGCTTAAGCCGCCGGTGGCCGCCGTGCACATCATCGTCTGTCTCCCTCCGTAGTCGAGGCCCGCATGGAGCTACGGGAGGTAGACCTGCTGCCTGATGACCAAATCTCGGACGATCGCTTGCGCATATAACGCCGGTGGCCGGACATCTGTGTTTCTGCGTGGTCCAGGTCGGTGTGGAGAGGTTTTTCTTTTGGTGATTTGGAGGTCCAGACGTTGAAACGGAGGAGGGTATATATCCGCGGCTTCGAGCCGAAAAGAGGTTCGGTTTCGGACTTTGGAAGAACCAGTGGAAATGCACGTGCGTGTCCCACGTGTCGACATAAAAGAGAGAGTATATACCACAAATATTTTGTTACAAAATCAATGGAAACAAGTGCATAAAAGATAATTGATAGAAAAGCACGGCATAAGCACCCAATGCAGTTCCTTATTAAAAATAAGTACGCAATGCAGTTCCTTATTGCTGATGTCTATATCTATAAGTAGATTTAGACTGGTTGTCCTTTAAACAAAAAGGAAAATTACAAGAAGACAACTTTAGCAATTAGCCAAGGTGACATATTCATATATTGCCATAATTATACAGTAGATGGATTTATTCAAACAACTATAATGGTTTGCATTTAAACAGAAAATCGATCAGTATACAGGCAATAGAACAGTATGCTGTAATCTCAAGTTTGTCATGTTGTGTTCTCTAAAAAAGCAACTCCAAATTCACTTCTACCATTTTCATCTACATCATCCACTATTCAGTGTACAGATTCATGTGCATTTGGTCGTTGAAGGGAACCGAGCTTCTGATCTAACTGAGCTAGCTTTTTCAAAACTGAATCTTGTGCAGTGTAGCCGACAAGGCTCTCCAACTCATTCCTGCTGAGATATGGCCTTGTTCGGCTGACCAAAAACTCGGCTTGATCCGCTTCTTTTTTCATCCGGAACAGTATTTTTTTCTCACAGATTCCGCCGTGAACAGTACCTTTCAGCCGCTACAGTGCTTTTTTGGGGTCAGCCGAACGCAGCCATAAACCATGTAAGTTTACAAACCCATTAGAAAGAACTTAAACTTACAGCATCCACAGGATACAGAAAATCATGCAGAAAAATGATGTAACACAGCACAAAGGGACTGTATACACATTTTTTTGATGCAACCGGTCTATTTGCCTGGGAGATTATAGCCATCTATCATCTAGACCTCAATAATTTACGCTAGCGTTGTGTGAGTGAGCTTTTCATTTTAAAATTCCAATGCTTTAAGAGCTCCCAAATTGCAATGCATAGAATTGAACCCCATTTAAGAGCACAAAAGCAAAAGAATTACCAAGTTTTTGAGCCTTGAAAAGAGAGAGAAAAGCATGGCATATTTCTTTGTCACCTTTTGGAAAGGGCTCTTTCGACATCAACATAGTTCGTGTCATCCCCGCGAAATACTCAACAACTCCACAACGGCTCCAATAAATTGCTTATATGCTTAGAGCAACACAAGTTGCAATTTTGACCAATCAAACTAAAATCAGAATCACAAGAAAGCACGCAAACATGCATGAGGAGTGGAAGTGGCCAAAACATCACATAGCTCTAGCAAGGGAGTTCGAGGGGAAACCTTACCATAATCCCTACCAGGCATGATATTCCGACTCAAAAGCACATAAACTGAACAAATTGATGGTGCGTACACAAAAGATTCTAAATAGTATAGCTCCTAAATAGTACAGATTCCATGGATATTAAAATAAATTTGAGATGAGATGTAAAAGACAAAAGATAAAGTAGATGCATTTAATGTGCTCAGTTGTAGTGTTGTTCCTGCTAAAAAAAATCTCATGTCACTGCACTATAAACCATAAAGAATTCTATAAACAACAACTCAAATTTCTGTTTCAAAAAAAAAAACTCCTCAATTTGGATAGAGAATACTTGCAATGCGCGTATGCTTGTATACTAACACAAGGAGTATGTGTGCACACACATATACAGAGAGAGTATGTGTCCGTATATATATGTACACGATGGTTGTAGTATTTGTGCATACACGCTCTTATTATATTAGGGAGTAATGTCCATCCACCAATGTAGTATACGTGGTCACATCAGTTTGTAGTATGTACACCATTAGGAGTTTAAATGCATACACCAAATCGAAAGTACAGTATGGGTGTATTTTGAGTATGAGTACATGCATGATCACTTTTAAGTTTGTAATGCTGAAGCATCAGAGTACGGAGGAGGATATATATCCGTGGCTTCGAGCCGAAAAGAGGTTTGGTTTCGGACTTTGTGAAGAAGGGTATACTTGCCAGAAACAGAGAACCTCCCTTTCCAAAAAAAAAAACCTTTCCTAGTTGATGTGTGATATGAGACATGATGAATTGACTAATCCGAGTCAAGAAAAAATTGCGTGAACACATTTTGTAGGCAAGATATCTGACCACATGTTACTTGGCTTTAGTGTAACTCGAACAAGCTTTCTTATCATTTTGGTTTGAAGGCGGAACAATATTCCACTGCATCCCCTGTTTGGTTCTAAGACCGGGACAGAGTCATTTCCAGAGAAAAACATTTCCTTCAGATTTGAATTCAAGTCTTCTAAGACGGGGACAGAGTCATTTCCAGAGAAAAACATTTCCTTCAGATTTGAATTCAAGTCATCCCAAAAGTTCAGGGGCCAACTCGTCCCTCCTCAACACCATGAGTCTACGTCGCGCCTCCTCTTCTTTGGCTCGTCGTGTCACGGCATGCGGAGCTAGAGGTAGTGGACGCGTTGAGCAGGGGTGCCAAGGGCCAGGGCATTTTAACGTTTTGGTGGACAATATATTTGACCGCAGTGAGATTGATTTATGGTATCTTGAAGGATCGAGATGGCCAATTAGACAAAGGGTGAATAGTCATTTTTAAAGCTCACTCGTGAAAGCTAGCCAAATTATATTAACAATGGAATTAAACTATATGTCTAGCCATGAATACACACCTCTAACTAAGTTCATAGGCACTCTACAAAGATAGTAAACAAGAGAGCAACTAGGATGTCGAGCTTGTGAGAATTTGCCTACACAAATCTAGTATGCATGGTCAAAGACCTGAGCAACTAGCTAGAACGCAAGCAGGCACACGGGAGCTCCTACACACACTAGTGAGTAAAAGGTAAACACTAGCACAAAAGTCCTAACAACACAAGCACAAGATAAAACAAGTAAAGCGCTAGTGTAGGGGGAATGCAAACCAACGGGAGACAAAGGTTGACATGATTTTTCTTCCGAGGTTTAGTGTCTTGCCAATCACATACTCCATATTGAGGCGAGTTCAAGGATTGTCGGTCCTCTCACTAACTTTCCAAGCCCACAAACTCGGACTAACCCACAATGTAGGCTCCAACATGAGCACTACACTCAACACGGCTAATCAACTTGACACTCTCCATGCATCGCTTCTACTTGAGTTGTTATTTGCCTTCCTCCGGCTGGGAGGAGCACATGAGCGCCTCACAAGTCTCCTATGGAGCTAGGCACAATCGTGTTAGAATGGTCAAGGAAGAGTTTTTTCAATATCGGGTACGAGAGCGAAGAGCCTGTTTTATCTAGTGTCTGCTTGACTTGATATGAGGTTCGAGCCCCCTCTATCGGGTCCCCTTGCCCTGCCTTATATCTCCAGAGGGCAAGGGGGCGGTACAAAAGTGGTTCTCAGCTCTTCTTGGCTGCTAAGGGAGGCAGACGTCTTGACCACCAAGGCTGTTTTTGGGTCCCGTCCTAGTCTTCGAGCTGCTGGGGGTGGCATCTCCTCACTCCACTTCGTCGGTTATGGCTGACAGCCCCTGCTAGACAATGCTAGTTTCAGATTTTGCAAGCGGCCGGGCAGATGATCCAGCTGGAGGGAACTTTGATCCGCCCATCCCCAGTTCGACCGCCCCTTGGCATCCGTGGCATGCAAGGATTCAGGGCTCCATGGTGGCTGACGAGTGGCCCCGCGCATATGGACTTCCCGTGGGCGGTGAGACCAGCACACGTGCCCCTTGTCATGTTTCATCAAGCCTTGGGTGTGACCCTTACCAAAGTAGGCAAGCGTGCACCTATTGAGGGATTCAAAGTAACCCTCGGGTCTATATATCTTCTATTTAGATCATCTCAGGAGGTGACCCGAGCAAGGGGTCCTGGATCCCTCTTGCCGAGCCATGTTCGGCCGGCCGAAGCCCCTCGAGCAAATGGGATATTGTCGGGTCCAGGCCAAGGTCTCTAGACCTTGTCCCAAGAGCCCTGTTTGGTGTGCTAGAGCCCTAAAGCGAAGGCTGGCCCACCGATCACTTAAGCATTTAAGGACTTTGTGCGTAGGGGTGGGAAACAATTCATCGAAACCGATTAACCGAACTGATTTAGCTGAAAAAGTCAGTTAACCGTTTTTTTCTGTGATCTATTCGGTTAAGACTTTGGCGCTATTCGGTAACCAAAATTTATTCGATTTTGAGCTGGCATTCACCGAATTAAATGATTAACCGAAATTC